GTGAAGCTTTTATCAGGCAACAAATCAAAGGTGTGTCTGATATCCTAGTTCTTTTCTCTATTTGGTGCGTGTCTTTGTAATTAAAAATGTTACACTTTGGGCACTCATTTCGTCCGTCACTTAAATGTTACTTTTGTTTTTCTCTCCACTATCTGTCAACTTCACATTTCTTTTTGTGGTAATTTTTACAGAATATGGGGATGTAACGGACATCTACAACTGGTAGATTCTCTTCTCTACAGATTGTATTCCTTTCCTTTTTTCTTACATGATTCCATTTCAACTTGGTAATCCGTCATTGCTGGTTTAAAAATTCTTTTCTTTTATGATTAGAGTTTTTGGTTTAATGGTAGACAAGGTAAAATAGTCATAAATTGCATATTCGCTTGTAGCTGAACTTTATTGGATTAAGGTAGACACTTGTTAAAATTTTGAGATCCATGCTTTCTTACAGAGGTTTGCTGACATAAATATTGTATCATTGGCTGCAGTGATACGTTTAACGAGAACTCTCCACCAACCAGTAATCCAGCCTATATCTCAGATCTTGGAGCTGCTGTATATGAAGCAATGTCCAAAGCTGATAAGGATGCTGTGTGGTTAATGCAAGTATGCATCAAATAACTCAGGATCTCACCTTTTCCTATCATAATAAGCATCTTAGTTTCCGAAGTTAGGTAGACAGATGTTTTGACTGCCTTTGACAAATCCTTCTTCACAGTCCATGATGTTTCCATCACTGATTTAGTACTGAATTGTATTTAGCTAGCAATTTTCAATTTTTTTTTATCAAACACAACCTACAACTAGGAAGAACCAAGTTTCCTTTGTCAAAGTTCATGGTAAAGATTAACGGATGAAATGGGACCATTATTCCTTTTTGCAATTAAAATTTAGGTGCCATTTGTACTATACAAAGTGATTTGTGGCTAAGAAGTTCTGTTAAATTTGCAGGGTTGGCTTTTCTACTCGGATTCATCCTTTTGGAAGCCTCCTCAGATGGAAGTATGGAATTCATAAGCTCTTCTGGTTTATCATGTCACAGCCCGTGCTAATGCTTCTTCATTTCATGAAGTCGTTTGTTGATTAGTAGGATAATACTTGCAGGCACTTTTACATTCTGTTCCATTTGGGAAGATGATCGTTCTTGATCTATTTGCTGATGTCAAACCAATATGGAAAAGTTCATTTCAGTTTTACGGTACTCCATATATCTGGTAATCATGTCTCCACTAGCTAATGTTGCTACCCAAGGAACATGTTTTATGATTTTCTTTCAACATTTACGCAGTTCACTAATCAATGACAATTATGCTTCCTTAATCTTACACTGTTTCAGGTGTTTTTTACATAATTTTGGTGGTAATATTGAAATGTATGGCCTTTTGGATTCCATATCTTCAGGACCTATTGATGCTCGTGTCAGCGAAAACTCAACCATGGTAAAGCCAGCATTCCTAATATTTCATGCGGACATGTTGATTTTGGTTTCAGCAATAGTTTGAACCCCCCCCCCCTCTTTTTTCGTTAGCAGCTAAATAAGATAAGTAATCTAGATCTGAAATTATATATTCATTGTCGTTTTATGGACGTACCCTGTAGCCTATCTTCTATGACTTTTCATTTAACTAAAAGATATTCAAATTTAGAGTTGAAAAATATTTGGTTATTATCTTTATAATATCATGTACATTCTAAGTAGTTTACTTGCTTAACTAATGTTTGTGTAGTTGGGAGTTGGTATGTGCATGGAAGGAATAGAGCAGAACCCTGTTGTATATGAGCTGATGTCAGAGATGGCATTCCGTGAAGATAAAGTTCAAATTCTGGTAATGTTGTTCTTAAGCTCACTTCACTTCAACTACATGCAATGAGATTTGTATTTTCCGTTTGATATTCTTCTAATGTTTTATCCTACTATGTGAAATAGATTTTTGCAACATGTACAGGAAACGTAAAGTTAGTACAAACATGTGAACTAGCTCCAAGGACATGAATTGAGTCCCCTCCTAGAATAAATAGATAAATAAATAAATAAAATCCTTTGTGTTATGGTAAAAGTATGTAGAATAAAAAATTTGAATTTAAAGCTCAGTAATAATTCGGAGTCTAGGTAGTATGGAATGGCAATACGATTGATTACAATTGCTTATATGATTTGACATTTATCTTCCCACAGATTACGAGAGGTCGAAATAAGGTTCATGTTTTATCATGTACACTTGCAAACATGCTCAAGAGGACCATAGTGTTTATTTACAGGTGTAGTTTTCACTGAAAAGTTTGTTGCTGGGGTTGAACCCTAATGCATTTGCAGGATTGGCTCAAGGGCTATTCCAAGAGACGATATGGTAAAGCAAATAATCAAGTTGAGGCAGCTTGGGAGATTCTTTATCATACCATATACAACTGTACCGATGGAATTGCTGTATGTCTTACATATTGCTCCCCTTAAAATGCATCGTATACCATACTAGTTGATCAATTTACTTTCATGTTATTTAGACTCTTATTTATGACGCTTGACGCATTCTTCAGTTTTATCTGGAGTTCAAAAAACAAACCCAGAACACTTTTACATCACAAGTTCAAGTAAGAGGGTGGGGTTCTAGGAAGAGATGCTGGGTCCTTTTTTTTCGAGAATGAATTGTGGATGTTTGAAAGTGGTCTTGGACATTGCGTAATTAGTAAGTTAGAATAAGTTTTCTGCCAAGATGTATAACCACACACAGACAAACACGCATCTGAGTTGAGACGTGTCATCAGGGCTTGACTTTCAATTTACACTGCTTTTTAATTTGTCACAGGACCATAACCATGATTTCATTGTAATGCTTCCTGACTGGGATCCTTCAAATCTCCAGAAGATTGATTTCTTACCCCTTGGAAATAGAAGATTCTTGTCCCAGGTGACAAAGTCTGATATGCCACAGGCTCATTTGTGGTATCCTACCGAAGAGGTAACCAAAGCTTTAAAACTATTCCTTGGTGCTGGGAAGGATTATGCTGGAAGCCTTACATATAGGTAAGCTTGTCATGTGCGAAATTTCACAAGTTAATTATTACTCTTTAAACCTCGTAAAGCATGTTCACGTTTAAAGATTGTTATTCCTAAACAGGAATAAATCCCTTCTTAGTTCCCAGATAAACACCCCCTCCTTCCCTCTTTACTAGCAGTAGCTTGCAGAGCAAACATAATTCATGATTTGTTCTTCACATTGCATGATAATCATCAGCCTTTGGGCTTTTAAATCATATAATCAGTAATGAATCCTTCATGGCCCTGATTTGGGGATAAAAGGATTGCACTCTAAATTTTGCTTAAATATGAAGAAATTTATTAGAGAAAAGTGGATATATACCAAAATACGCACTTTCAACTGATCTATTCCCACATGAGCAATGTTTTTGGCAACAAAAGGAGGAGAATAAATATGCGCGCACAAGTAATCTGAATAATTTAAGCACGTCAATCTCCCTGGATGGAGAGAACGATGATCTTTTGGTTTTAGTATGCAAGAAAAGTTAAAAGAATCATATGTTCCTTTAAAAAAAAAAAAAAAGCATATAAGATTAACATGTGAGATGATAACGGGAAGACTGGTTGATGTCTTAAAAACGAAAAACAGCATGAAACTGTTTGGTGAAATCATTCGTGTCCTCTTGACAGGTATGACTTGGTCGACTTAACACGACAAGTATTGTCGAAATTGGCAAATCAAGTATACATTAAGGCAATTACATCATTTCAGAAAAAGGATATCGATGCTTTGAGCTATTACAGCAATAAGTTCCTTGGTTTGATAAAGGATATTGACCTACTGCTTGCCTCTGATGATAACTTCCTACTTGGAACTTGGCTTGAGAGTGCCAAAAAACTGGCACTGAATCCAAGTGAGTTGAAACAGGTGAGTAATACTGTGTCTTTTCCTCCCTTTTTGATGGACTGTGGACTATTAGTTTATAGTGAGAACAAGCAGTAATTTTTTATTTTTGCTTGCACTTGCGATTTGAATAGTTTTCCCCCCTTATTTCTCCCTTGGTTGAGCCCCAGTCAATTAATTAAAATAATCTTATTTAATGATTAGAACTAATGATTGTTTCGAACTTATTTTCCTTGTCTCCTCCAGTATGAATGGAATGCCAGGACGCAAGTGACAATGTGGTTTGACGCCAATCAAACTACTCAGAGCAAGCTTCACGACTATGGTAAAAAGCATCATAATGCTGTATAATATTAATATCCACCTTATTCTTATAGATTTGGCTGATTTTCTGTCCTCCTATTGTTCCATTATTAGCTAACAAGTTTTGGAGCGGACTTCTCGAAGGCTATTATCTCCCTCGAGCATCAACCTATTTCGGTCATTTGTCAAGAAGCTTGAAACAGAATGAGAAGTTCAAGTTGCAGGAATGGCGAAAAGAATGGATTTTACAGTCAAACGCATGGCAAGAAGGTAACGAGCTTTACCCTGTAGAGGCCAGAGGAGATGCTCTTGCCATCTCCAGGGCATTGTATGAAAAATATTGTGGGCAATAATTTAAACGCTAAATCACAGAATTACGAGTTATCAATTCGGCGTACCATTTGCGCTTTCAGATTGTTGTTCGTACTCAAATAATACCGAAGCCTGCATATTTTCGGACTCTGTTTCTTGTGTTTTGCTGATTTATGTAATTATTTTGCCTATGTCTATTGGATGAAGTTGTATGGCATTCAATCTCCAACGACTCCAAGGAGTGAATCTTTGGATTAATGGAAATATGACAAGTGAGTCTGATGCCTGCCTCCTTTAAAATTTCCTTGAGCATGAGCTTACGAGTTCCAACACTCAAAAATGGTATAACAAATTTATGAGTTATGACATAAAATAACAGAGTGAACCTGGTGCCAGCCTGCATCTAGCAGGGACTTGGTCTATAGTGAGCATAAGCGAGGCATTTTTTTTCCGGCATGCCATCACGCTCAATAGCATATATTTATATAATTGTTGTGTGGACCAAAAATGAATCAAATTAAGCCGACTATAAATAAACATGTAGTCAGATCAGACAATGCTTTTTCTGGCGAAAGGGGGAAAAAAAACGGTTCTTTTCCTTTAATGAGACTTGTCCTAGACGTAATTCAATATCTCATCCTATTTGACTTAATTTACCTATCTTTTTCAAAATCAAAGTCGAATCTCTGAATTTCCTTGTGATTAAGACCTACCATGCAATAATAAATCTCCCTAGTCATCATGTTTCGTCCAAGACTCTCCGGGCCATGATGATTTCATGCTTAGCTCATCATCATCATCATCATCATCTACATTACTAGACTTTATAAACAGGTCCATGATCATAATATGGCCTCAACCTTGCGACTAAGGTATTTTTGAGTAGGAATATCGCATTTGTGGGGACTAGAAACCGTGTCTGGCTGTGATAAGTTAGTTAGTTTCTCTGTACATGCTATAAAGGGTTCTAGAAATAGGGTTTGGCTCTCACTTTTTCTTTCCATAATCTCCTTCCTCATATCTTCTAGTAATGCTTTACTGGTGTCAATACCTGCTCAAGTTACAAACATTCTAAAAGTGAGATCGTGTAATTATTAATGCAAAACTTGAAATAGAAAACAATGAAATAAGTACCTGCAAGGTAAGCACCATGGACATAACCGTTAAATTTTTCACTTGTGTGCTCTCCAGTAAAGTAAATGCGATCCACTGGAGCCTGAACCATGTCGAGAGACAAAATAAGACCAAATGGAAGTGCAAAAACCTAAGCACTGTTTCATTTTGAAACTTAAATGAGATTCTCCTAGTTTCTTTTTGTTTCAGAATTAAACTGAAATAATCAAATGAATACACAGACAACTGTACTCTTTTTAAATATTTACTTCTTCAGTCTTAAATATAAGACTCATATTATAGTAAAATTTGCATTACAAAATAGGTTTTATATTTAGGACGAGAGGAAAATTTAGAATGCCTGTAATGGGAATGGTGAGAATAATAAAACTTTTGATCCTAAAATGTAAATTTTATCAGTCAAGTCCCTAAAATTTGATAACCATACACATTTAATTAGTCATTATGGTTCAGAAGGACTAATTGTGTATGATTATGAAACCCTAGAGACCCGATTGATAAAGTATAAATTTCAGAAACTAAATCGATGGGCGAGGCAAACTCAAAGAAGCAAAAATTTCCTTTTCACAAGGATGGTGTTATAGGTGTGAAAACAATGCTGAAAAATATTTTTGACTACTCTAACAGAGGCACAGACCAATGGCCACCAGTAAGCTGATCATCTTAAGTCTGTCTTTACATGCAATTGGAGCAGAATATACGACAAGCATGAGGGCATCCCACGAAAATTTTGACAGAATGCGCCTAGAAGCAATATCACTACAAAAACTAAAGAAGTATGTGAAAATTTAGAAGAGAAACAAACCTTAATACTGTGATTAAGTTGATTATTATTAGAGACAATGGGATAATTGCTGTAACTGCAACGCTGGAACCTGTTATTCCACCAGCGGGGAACAAGTATATCAGTGGCATCAGGTATGTCAGGTCCAAACATATCCCTGAGGACCTCCATAGCTTCTTTCAAGGTCTCTTTATCAGATTGGGCTTCAACACGTTTTGATTCCTCATTTGTTAGGGTCACTACCAAGACATTAGAGTTAGGGTATGCGTTTTCCATGTCCTGCATGTAGAGGAGCAAGTCAGCTGATAGATTGGAAAGTTTTAATGAGTAAATTTAAGAAATTTATAGACAATTTAATGCCCAAAATAAGAGCAAAGTAGTCTCATCCCGCATACAAATTGTGCAGTCAATGTAGAAGTTCAAGTTCAAAATCAATGCATAGATATCACATTAATGGAACAGGTAAACTGTACTGAAATAAGATGATTCACAAACAGGTCAAAGTTTTTGGGTCATCAAACATAGCCAATTTTCTCCTATTAATTAATAGACATTTTCATAATTTGAAATATGTATGTTATTAGTATTCTGTACAAACAAGAAACCAATGATAGCTAGAAAAAGTTAGTCGTTCCCATTACGAAACTCAGTAACATATAATTCCAAGGTATCAACGTTGCATTAGAAGTGTAATGAACTATTTAACGGAAATGAAAAGATGTATCTGTCTTACACGGATATAATAAGTTCATTGGAGTATGCTTCTAAGTTCTAATGGTGTGACTTGAAGGTCAAGTTACAACTTCACATTAAAGAAACAGGTACCAAGGTAGATCATCTATAGTAAACCGCGGGATCAAGCAAGAGAATTAAAAACTATTTTTCCGCACCAGACAAGAGAACCTATAGTCAATTGTTGCCTTTGGAGATTGGATTTAGTAGGTTGAATCCGGGCCAAGTGGAATTTTAAAATGGTAAGAGAAGCTTCGTGCAAACTTTAAACTCCTTGCGTAGCTCTGTTTGAAATTTACTCAAAGCTAGATCCAATAAGCATCAAGATTATGCTAAATAAAAAATGATTGCACAAAATGTGAGGATTCTAGTCACCTTGAATTGAGCTCACCATTATAAATATTTAAAATAGGACTGCACTATATTACGCACACGCACACAAAGGAAGGGATCATAAAGAACAGCCAGAATTGTGCATATTGAAGGGCAAAAGCCCGAAATAATCTTTCAGCTGATGATTAAAGTTCAACCTAAGCTATTTAGTTCTAGTAAATGGGCGAATTTTCAGAAGAGTTGACTCTAATTTCTTCGCGTTAGCAGAGCAGCAAATAGGTTCAGGCATTTTTAACAATTTGACATGAGAAACAAAATTCATATTCAACGGAAGAAAACAAACATAATATGACACAAATAATAAACATGATGTAGTTGGTTGAAAAGCGAACCTGCCAAAATGTGTAGTAACCTCTCCGATCATGAGCATAGATGAAGAATTCCTTCTCGGGTCCACTTGGCCAAAACTTATACGGAAACTTCAGAAAGATTTTGGTGTACACTATCAGATCCAGTTTCTCTATGGCTTCCGATTTCCACCTCTGCATCATATCATTCATTCAGTCATATTAAAACAGAAATAGTGAATGATACTACATAACAAAACCCCACAAAATTATTATTCACAGGGTAGAATATAATATTTGACGATCCGCTTAGCTCAAAAGGCAGGCAAAAGTGTCTCAATGACGGCATCCATTAAATATAGTTTATAACTAGTTCATTGATTTAAGGACACCTCATTAAGCGTTAGACTGATGATAAGTTTATTGTCGTATGATTCACAGATAGCAAACTCGAGAGACACCAAATTTATCCATTGCACTCATCATCCTATCGGATCAAGTTGAGAGAAACTAATCCTGCTAAAATGTTTGAACGACAATTAAATTCACTCATACATCAATTTAATTACCAATAGATATGATGCATATTTAATATTCATTTTCATATAAAATTTTACTTTAAATAGATTTGTTTAATACTTTATATATGACTGACTTAACTTTTATATATATATGTATATATATCTTTAAATGAGTAAATTCCCTATCAAATCTCTCCTAACTTTATTCACCATGTACCGTACACGGATCTTCAATCCGTCATACTGAATCTGACAACCATATATATGGAAATATACAGCAAAGCTTAGATTGACGAAGTTTCCTGTATTGTCCAGTACAAGGAGTCCCACTCTGCTACCCTGTAACGTTTTCATATTATACTCTAAACGCAGAACCCCACAAATTTTATGACGGTAAATAAATTATAGCATATTCATGTATGATGCACCTATCGCCATTACTGACCCCAGATGCAATTGGAAACCTCTTCCGTCCACGTGGTGACCCAATCAAAAGGGCTGCCGGTAAATCATCAATGATGATACTATTTATGCTTAATACAGACACACTTGATCATGGAACCGCTGGTTTCTGCACATGAAGACAAATCGAAAATATGTTTTCCTGCGTCATCAACACCAGGAAGCTCAAGTTTTATATAGAACTTGTTGTCCCTATATTTTGACTTTCTCAACCTATGACATTTAAATTCGTGATCCCGCCACACAGGTCATGCCAAATAGAATCGGTCAAAAAAAAACACCCTGTGAGAAATTCTACCTTGTTGGTAATGTGTTAGTCATTTATTATAGAATGGCTAGATGTGGCTAGATTCTTTACGAGGGCATTGATAGGGAAAGCTTCAGCTCTTCTAGGAGATCAATATCTTAATTCTTAGCTATTGATTTCAACATTTATATGATACATTACAATATTAATATTATTATTTTAACACAAGTTTTAAAGCAGTGACAGCTAGAAATTCAATTACTCTCTAAAGCATCAAGGTTTCTAATTTAAAACCTCAAGTTTTATAAATATATAGTACATTGAATTAGAATAAATTTGCGTGCGTGTATTATTTCCAGATAAAACATATTTTTGATCCAGGCATTCCAGTCATAAGGATTATTATTTATGCCCATTTGTCCGCGTAATTAAAGACGAGAAAGAGAGGCAAGCAAGCAAATATAGAGGAGACATACGGGTAAGGGTGGATTAAACGCAATGAGGTCGCTTTGAAGAACGCCGATACTGACAGACAGAATCAGGTAATCTGCTTCATAAATACAACCATCCTCAGTTACTACTGTAACGCCACTCCTCGAATGATGTAATTCCCGAACGACCTGCACGTAACCAAATAAAAATATCAATTCCACAGTGCTAAAAAAAATATTCTCAGTACCAATTCATCGGATGTTGAATTCAAAAGAAGTGATGATGATGATGATGCAGATACAGCAGAGAAAACTACGCCTAGAAAATCCGATGTGATGCGGAACAGTGAAGCTTGGAAAATCTCTGCTGTCTAATATGGACTCAGGAATTCAAGAAAAATTCATTAGAGTAACAACGATTATCTATATTTTCCTACATCCATGAGCTTCTGATCTTTGATCAAGTAACCATAATAAAAGGGGACACTGACAACACTGCCTTTCCTAATGTTATTGGAGAGATGAAATGACTTGACAGTTGACAACTTTAGTTAATGCTATGGGGTCAATTCAAACAGTGTTCAGGGGAACATAAATTTAAACTGGGACTTCGGGGCCTACAAATTTATGAAGACTTAAAAGATAGAGCTCAAGATATTATTTGCCGATCAAATTATCCTGCATGTGGGGTCCTCAATGTTTCAGTATTGGGAAGAAGACATATAATGTCTCTCGTCGAAGACAGCAAGAAGTAAAGAAGACCCAAAAATGCGAACTTCTTCCCCATTCAAGAAGGAAAGATAAATGTGAAGAAAAAGTTGAATGAAACATGAAAATATTGAGTAGTTTTTTTTCCCCAAAAATAATACTTGATGGCCGAATTGCTCTTATGCTAGAATAGCCTCGTGTGAAATGTTTTTTCTTTGTCAAAATATGCTTAACATTACTTGGATTACTGAGGATTGTCCTTCTTCATTTCTTTTGTGCTGGAAAGGTCTTGCCACAAAACATCGCAAATATAATAATAATAATAATAATAACAACAACAACAATAATAGACCCACTCATTTTCCTTTTTTGTTAATTATTAATATAATTACCGTAAGCATGCCATCATCCGCAAACACATAAAAAAGTTACTATAACAAAGTATGTCCATCACAGAGTATATTTTTCAATGGAAATAGTGGGGGGAAACTTGAAGAAAAAGTTTGAGTTGACACCATAACGTCACGAGAGAGAGAGAGAGAGAAACATCGCAAATATAATAACAAAAGTATAACATCTTTGAAAAGTCATTTTCTGTAAACTATTGGGCGGTGGGACGCTCGAATTCAATTAACTAAAATTAACAAAAAGAGATCGCAGTGCAAACGCATGCAAACAAACTAAGATCTTGATTATATGTTCCCGTGGGAAATATAAAGAATCCAACGCCGCCCTGAGCTCCGTACTGGACGCGGCGGGTGAGCTGGGAAGCTCGTGGTTCTTGAATAAACACAATTTTATGGTACCATATCTATGGTATGTGCTAGTGTAATGTATGTAAAAATTTTGTTCATTAAATTAATATGAGTTAAAAATATTTAGTAATTAATTAGTACACAAAAGTTTGCCACATTCACAACAACCCAGGCCATAATTTGTCCTATTTCCTTTCGTAGCGAAATTCAAGCAGAAAGAGGCGAGCACCCAGAACAGTACCTTGTTGAGTTGGAGACGACTGTCCAAGATTTTACCCTGCGAAGTGTGGAGAAAATCTTCGGCCAATTTGTATAGCAAATATTCAAATCCTCTCTCATCAGCAACTAAGAATTCTCTCTCCCCGAAATCTACGAATGTAGATATAGGCTCCACTTCTACATTCAAATGGTCAGTTAACTATAAGTTTCTAAATCTAGAAGAGAAAAATGCAAAGCACGCAGATGAACTGAAACAGGGTAGGGACAAGGAGGAAACACAACTACTCTGAGAGGCGCGTTTAGCTTTACGAAGAAACTAAAAAAAATTCATGCTAACTCAAATTGTTTAATTTATTTTATTTAATTAATCAATCATCAAGATAATATATTCATCAGGACTCACTTTTTACTTAAAGATTTGAATAACCACGAAACGATTCCAAATATTATTTTTTAAAAAAAAAAAAAAACTATCCGCTGAGCCGGCGGAGATGACTACGCTTTTCCCTTTTATTGCGTGGAAAAACAAACTGTGAAAAATAAAAATTCAATAAGGCGTGATGTGAGCTTACCTGCCATTTCAAAATCATGGAGGATGAAATCAATGGCCAGCTCTATTGGCGTCTTCGGTATCCTAACAAGAAGCGAGAAAGTTGCGAACATAACTTTTTAGAAAAAAAAAATTAATGTATAACTAACTCCACAGTGATGCACGTTGATTTCGCGGGTGGAAATAACGAACTTACGAAGGAGTGGAAGGAGTCTCATGGCCACCAAGTTCCTGATTCCTCAAACTTTGAATTGCCGAGTCCACCGCCCTTTTGTACGATTCAGCAGCGATTCCGCTCGGAATGATCTTCCCACTGCAACTCGCTATGGCATACTCGGATTAAATTCACCAACAGAGTAAAGCATAAATAGAAAAATATATGGTTAATAAATAACTTCTTTTTCTCTCTCAAAATTTGAAACTCGTTGCATTTTTTGGCTGAACATTTAATCAATCTATAATTTTTACGCTGAACTATTTAATCGACACTGAAGGTACTAATTAAGTGTTAATAAATATATTTTTCTGGCGAAAAAATCATAAATATATATTTACTCAAATAGGATATCAACCGAACTAGTACTGAAAAATTCGCCGCCGTTCGTGGCAACAGTTCTCGAAGCTAGTGTGGCGGCATCGAGGTTCATGCCGCATATAACAAACAATCCGACACAACGGTGCCGAATTGCGCCACCGCGGAATGCGTGTAAATAACACTAATCACCGCTGTCGGTGGTTCGTCTATCACCACGACGCATGATAGACAAAATCCTGCCCGACGGCGGTGTCTTCCGCCTCCACCATCGATTGAAAACATTAAAAAAGAAAATAATAAGAAATGTTTGCGAGAGACCTGCGATCATAGATGTTGTAGCGCGCATTGCTATAGTCGGAGAAGCAGGTTCGGAGGCCTAATTTGCAAGCGAGTTCCCAGACAGGATTAGACTCTCTGCCTCCAACTCCAGCTACCCACCCGGCCCCAAGCTCCGCCGGCAGACCTCCAAAATTTTCCTTCCGGATTCTACCGCCGATACGGTCCGAAGCCTCGAGGATCAGCAGGTCCTTTACGCCATTCTCGGCCAAGACTTTCGCCGCACATATACCTTAACATTTCAAGCAAAAATGGAAAAGAATCAGAATTACGTGATGAGAACTTCAGAAAAAGTGTATTCGGAATATGAATATTTGGAAGCAAAGAACTGTTGCGGTGGCAGTACTTACCGGATACACCAGCTCCGACGATTATGACGGAGTGGCGAGAGGAGAATCCATAAACGTGAGGAAGAGATTGGAGAGCGGGGGAGGGGAGAGAGAGAGAGAGATTTGAAAATATATATGGGAGGGGGTTTGGAGAGCGCGATTATGTTGCTAGATAAGCAGAACTCTAGCGGGAGTTGGGTTTATATAGTTTCTTTCCGCCTAGAGGAAAAGTATTACGGTTTTTTTTTTTTTTTTTATGTGTTGTGGGGAGGCGGAAGACAACTTTCTTTTGGGCCGAACTCATGAAAGGAATTATTTTTTCAAAAAAATGAAAACAGAAAACTTCTCATCAAAAATTTTATTTTTAAAAAATTATTAATGAGAAGAACCTAAATCAGACTAGTATTAATAATTCGCAAAATATCAATTTTTTTATACATAAAAATTTATCAAATTCTTTTCGTTAATAAAATTTACAACGAGGCATTTTCTTTCTCTTTGGTCAGTGATTATATTAATTACTCTTACTATAATAAATCACTAATTACTTAAATAAGCAATTAGTTTAAAAATAATACTATCTCACGCTCTAAATGTAAGAGTTACTTTGTAATATAATTTACATTATAAAATAAATTTTATATTTAAAATGAAAAGTAGTAATATTTTTATGTATGCGTTCACACGCAAAAACATATTAAAGTGGGAATGCTACCTATCATGTTTAAATGAGTTCTTGGATTTGAGCCTAATCAATAAATAAATTAAAGTATATAGTTTCTGTCATTTGGAGGGGGATGGTACGTGACACATTGCTATATGATCATCAAAACATCATTTTTGTCCCCATCGCACTCAACAACATTAACGGTTGATTTAAGGCCTTCTTTAAAAAAAAAAAAAAGTAATTTTTGCATAATCTAGAGATTATGAGTTGAACATTGATTTATTGTCTAGAAATTTTATGAAAAGCATAAATTGTTTTGTGTTAGTTATAATTATATAAAAAGTGATTATTATTTAGTCAGTTTAAGATTTTATGATATCTTCCATCTTGTTGTACTTTTTATTTATAAAAATAATTATTTTTTTATTTATTTACTTTTAAGTTTTATAGTATCTCTGTGTATCTCCATACCTTTAAAAGTATTCTTTTCGATCTATCACACCTAATCATTTAACATCTTTGTATATCTTCATATTTTTCAAAAAAAAAAAAATTCGGATTGCCATTAGAATTAAATGTAAAATATCAATATTACATGTATATTATATGACACATTGCATAACATTGGAGGATATACCAATTCGTCTTTCTCTAGTCTTGGAGACTCTATATATATATATATGTATGTGGCTTATTTATTTATAAAAAAAGCTAGTTAGGAATTGTATTTGATTTTAAATATAAGATCTCAATTTATTTTTTTTTTTTTTCCAAAACATCTCTATTGATGATTGTGAGGGGTTCTTACCAATTCCAATCATTCAATAAACATTGTTGAAAAAGATAGTTTAAAAAAATCAACACACATTTATAACAAATTAATAACCAATTTAACTAATTTTTAATATCCTCAAAGTAATTATTTAGCTCTTATATTATGGACAAAAAGTAGTATTTAATATTGTACTTGATGATATTGTTATGACTTTCTATACTTGGTGTTTTTTCATTAAAGAATGTATATAAATTAAACTATAAAAAAAAATTAGCTTCCAATAATCTAATTGGACTCGCTAATCAAGTTTGATTTGCAAGCTGAAAAGGCCACAAGAATTTGATGAGACTGAAACATATCAACAGGATCGGAATTATTAAACTCGTTTGTTTCTTTTGACCAAAAAAAAAAAACTCGTTTGTTTGTTAAATTTGAAAGAGAATTGGGTCCTTTTCAAAACCTTTGATTTTGGATGATCGATGTTTGATGAAGGACGCAGAGACAACTACAACGAAATTGTTGTTTTTGCATACAAGTTTGCTAACAAAACAATGTAGCTTGACAATATATGTCATTATATTGGTTCATGAATACCCTCTTAATCAATGAAAGAGATCTACGATATAAGTCATTCTAACTAATTTATTAAAATGGAGAAATATTAAATAATTCATTAAATCTGTTGCAAATTGAATTTTTTTTCAACTTTATCCTAATTGAATTAGGTTGTGATGAAAAGAAAAAAATACAAAGAATCACATTTAAGCATTAATTGCAAAGACAAGTTTAACAAATAAGTATTAATTACTATATATATATATATATATATATATATGAGACTAAGTAAGCTCATTTTTCCCCTTTTGGGGTGGGGAGAGACCATGACGCTAATTAGCAAATTAAAATGAAATTATAGGGAAATTTTCTGAAGATCATATCTAGGTCTTATGCCATTCATAAAATATTATTTATTTTGGGTAATCCTTATGATGCCTTCAAATCAATTTTTATCTCTAAAAAGGTTCATACTCACTTTTATATCATCTCCAATAAATAATAAGATGACGAATATTTGATTTGTGAATATGAGAGAACATCACCTGTAATTAATTAACCTGACTAATAATGCAATAGATAGACGAAAATTAAATAATATAAAGGTTTATGATAATTATCGATATAATTAGCAATTTTTCCCCTTATAGTGGCAGTCTATTTTTAATTATTTAAATTTTATTATGGAAGGAAGCCCGAAAACTAAGCCATTCCTGTTTAAGTGACTCGTGACCAACTGATTAGATATGTTACAGACTCCGATTAGGCAAGACCAATTTCCCCCATCACCAATTGTAAGTTGTAGTTTTTCTAATAAAGCATAAATTTCAAAAATTATTTAAAAATAAAATTAGACAGAACTTTGGAGAACAAAAACATGAAATTTGTTATTTATATGAGCAAGTTTGATCAAAATTTATATTGTACTAAGTATGTTTTCACATGTAAGTCATACTATTTTTATTTTATAAACATTACTACATTACGTCTTTTTTTAAATATTATATATATAAAATATTAATATGATGAGAGAACTTTTTTTTAATAATTCTCTCAATTTACTCGATATCTCATCTTTTTTTAATAGATTTTCATGTATAGGTGCCTTGAATTCTAATCATCAATGTGCAGTCAATTTCCCATTCAATGTGTTATTTTGCAGGTTATGTCAAAGTCTTTTAAATGTTTCTATCTTCTCAACAGTGTCCTAAATTGAAATGAAAGGACAATATAAAAAAAATGAATTTTGAAAATATAATGTAATCATGCAAACTTACCAATATTTCGACGGAAGCTAGACATAAAACAAAGTAACAATATTAATAATCTTACTCATAATTATTTTTCTTTACTTACTTTTTGAAATTTATAATTTGACTTGTCTAATAATTTATTATTTCCAGTTTTAATTATAAGATCTAATTTGTGGTCTATAAACTAGATTTTATAATCATGACCGGAGATAGTATCCCTCAATTTTTATTTTAAAGGGTAACATCACATGCATGAAGCAATGATCAAATCGACAAACATAAATTTAAAAAATGAAGTTTAGAGTCCACAAAATTTAAGAAAGCTAGAAATAAGAGAAAATTTGGTCGCCTAAATGCATGGTCTTAAGTTCAATTGCATATGAATGAAAAAAATCTCTTCGAATTTTACTTTCAAGTAAGTCCGACAATACTTAAATATGATCTAATCAGATAGCTAAAGTTACATCTGAAAGTTAATATGACAATATTTAGATTAACATAATTGAGAAATCATAATATTTTTAAGATAATTTCATTGATCTTTAAATAAGTTCATATCCTCTTGAAAAAATTATAAATTTTTAATAATCTTATATTAAAATATTTCATTAATAGTTTTGATGTTTGAAAATAATACTATATTCTGAAGTTCGTTAATTAAATATTAAAATTTAACATCAAATCTCCAATCGTAATTTTCCTTAAGAACACAACATGACTTTCACTCATGTTCATGAACATCTTTCATTTCTAATTGAAATGTTTGTGAATATAATCCAACAAAATCAGTGCAGTGACTGAATATTGGATCCAAATCTTTGAGAAAAACAAGATGACAATGTTGTTACATAGTAAAGAGAGGATTTGAAATGAACCTATGGGCAATCAGAGATTTGGTCTATCCTTGAAATGACAAATGATTTTAAATCATGTTAATTTATTGTCCCATGAATCAAGTTAACAGTAAATTTAAGTATTTAATATATTCACGGATTCTTCTTAGAAGCTGATTGAATTAGATAATAAAATAGTACTTAATTATCATATTAATTACTTATGTATTTAATTATGCATCTTTTTAATTAACCTTGGCATCCTCGATCTAATAGCCCCTGCCATAATTTTTTATTATTTATAACAATGGTCCCATGCATCTATTATTGCCTTTCTTTTTGAGGCATAGATTTTCCAGGGAGCATTCCCAGTAATATCTCTGTGATTATACATGTGAAACAAACTGATCTAGCCCAACTATTGTTAATTATTCAATAGATTAATTATGATATTATCTCATTAGGCCCACATCTTTTATTAATTATATTATTATTGATACTGATTAGTGAATTATCATGTCATATACGTGTCCTCTTAGAGGATGATTAAGAATTTAAGATTATATTTAGGACTGATGGAGAACCCGGTTAAGTTTTAAAAGAGGGGATAATGATAGTTACGTTCGTAATAAATTTTTCTTAAAAAAAATGGATTGTAAATATCAATCAAAAGAATTGTAAATTCAGGTGGTCCAATTAAAAGTAAGACATTTAAGTTATAAATGTAACTCTCAGTTTGTAACTGGAATTTGTATCTGTAATTGCCTAAATCGATATTTACAATAATTTTTTTTAATATTTTTTCTCGAAACCTAACTAT